GCTCAGTAATGTAATTGTAGTGTGTGATTACAATAGTGTGTTGGTGTGGAGGGTTACCGTACATGTATGCAGGTGTGTGTTTGCGTTTGTGTTTGGCTACAAACAATCAATCCCTACTAGTGGATTTTACCTCATCTGCCCTAAAGTAGCTCTCTCGACCCCTACCTATATGCCACATGTGCTTCCTACAACCTACATCCCACAACCCCCTGCAAGTTTGTCATTGATAACCCTTTGCCCATGCCTCCACCTCCCCTTTGTCTCTCACCCATGATTCATTTTACATTCCCTACCTTTTCTTTGAGAGAACCGACATTGTACTGAGATCCTGAGAGCAAGAATGCTTTATCAAGTCCCCACAATGAGAAGCCAGGGAGTGTGTGGGAGGGGTGGGTATACAAGATCACATCCATGCTACAAGGGCTAGTCCTGCAAGAAACCAATTATGTGGGAAGTAAACAAATCCAGTAAGCTTTTCTCCCTAACCATTAAAACTCTCTCCTTTTCCTTCTGTCTCCCTCCTTCCTTCATTTCCTCAACCCCCTAAATTAACTACTAATCCACTCTCCCACCTTCCTCTTACAACATTATAACTAAAAAGAAAAAAACTGAAATTAGTCTACCAAATTGCTGTTTACTACGTTAACCCAATGAACTTGGACGCAGAAATGTTCAGTTCCTGTCAGATTTCCTAGAAATTATACTTTTATCTAAGCTAAGCCAAGTTATCATTCAGTAAATTCTCATATTTCTTACATCTTACTGTTTTAACCCCTTAAGGACATATGACGGAAATATTCTGTCATGATTCCCTTTTATTCCAGCAGTTGTGTCCTTAAGGGGTTAATGCCTGCATTTTATCAGTAAATTCCATCTCTCGGAAGCAAACCTCACATTTTGTATTTAATTTGCTTAGCGCCAACCCTTAAACATCATGTTTAACATAATATACCCCCTCATTTTGCAGCTTTTAAATCCTACAGGTTTCATGAAGGAAATAAAAAAGATTGCGTAAATGGATTTGACCACATTCCAAAACATGTAAGCCTTTAACATTTATTTTGACAGACTGAAAATAAACTTGCTATGTTGCCACAATGAAAAACTATTATAAAATCCCTACTCTGAATTTCTGTAATAACAGTCTAATTTAGATGTTATTACTCACTGATTCATGATTATTACAGTTTAGTTATAACACTAATCAGTGGTTAAAAGCTTAATGCAACATCAGTACTCAATGTTTATAAGTTACTGCAGCCTATTTATGACATCCCCACTCAATTATCAACTACTACAGTCTTGTTATGACATCACTTCACATTTTGACATCACAAGTCATCGATTATACCTATTTATAGTATTGTTATGCTTTTACTTTTCATTGATTTAACCTTTTAAAATCTAGTTATGACATTACTACTTACTACTCATTAAAAGCTATTAATATCATTGATAATAAGTTATTAATATTGAGATCTGATCAGTTACTTGTCAATGCTATTGCTGTCTAGGTAATACATTTGTATTTGATAGTTATTATAATCAACTTGCAACATTACAAATCACTGAATATATTATTACTTTGATTTAATAACTGTAGATTATGCTAGCTTTAGTGTACCTATAATCTTAATTGTATTAATGACAGGAGGTATTTGCTTAAGTCTCTCTTTACTAGAACTCCACAGCAGCACAGAAAAACAACCAATCAGAAAAAAGTTAGGTACTATAAAACTCCCCTCCCCATGCATCATTTCCTCTTTCAAGCTGCGACAAAAACAGAATAAAAGGCAGAAAACATAATGGGGAAGAAACAAAGTCCTAGATATGATGAATACAACGATGTCCACCATCCGAGAAGAACTGCCAAACCAGATAGCGTTGATGGACTGTAAACTGAAACGAAAGAAAAACAGAATCGAACAGGTTGATTATCCAATGAAATGTACTCTGAATAAACATGTAGGTACCCAATGTAGCAACCAAAAGTACCTTAATATGTAGATATCCCAACCCTACTTATGAAAAAAACAGACATAAGAACAGGCGACAGGTAGCAGAGACAACAAGCAGAGTTGCATATGTACCTGATTATTCCAAACTATTAAAATTAAACAAGGGAGGGATAAGAATGGGTGGGAAATACTCGCTTCCTGTCATTAATACAATTAAGATTAAAGGTACACTAAAACTAGCATAATCTACAATTTTATAACGACAGGAGGCTTTGTATTTGCTGTTTTAACACTCAGTCAACAAATCCAACGCTGTTTGTTTCGCTGGTACCTATTCCGGGAGCTATCCGAGCAATCCTAAATGGACTTTCCAACTGCGATAAATGACAATAGACCGATCGATGAAGATGCCAGTTGAAGCATCCCAAATACGGAAAAAAACACCATCCGCCAATAGATCATTGTACGTGGGGTTGCGACCTGTTTCCAACCAGCCAGTCCATGAGCTGCCAAGCTGACCTATTAGCCATTTCCCTGTAGTTATAAAATGTTGAAGGTCATTTGCGGACTTAGGGCCGCGATAAGACACTGTCACCATGTCTCAACTCTTGATGTGTAAGGTTGCTCCACCGATCGTGGCCGGGTCACCCGGCGATGTGGTCTTGCAGGCAGATCTTCAATCTCAAGGAATGCGCCTAAGTCCACCACCAATTCCGTAATAGAACCGAGTAGGATCTTTCGTTCCCTGATGGCCTACCCGGTGAGATGTCTCATCCGAGAATACATTTATTAAACAGGCAAGAGTGTGGCAAACTAGCTCTATCCCAAGTGATTCCAATATTCCAACTGTACTGTGTAATCCACGGCTGCGGTAGAGAAAGGACTCCAAAAAGGACATCCAATCATGGTCCCAAACTGAACTTATGTGGTGGAACGGTGGTCGACTATTCTGGAAATAGTGGGTCCCGGAAATCTTCAAAGGGCTGGGAAATGTAAACCGGAGTTGAGATTCCCCTCCAGATGTCAACGTCTAAGAGTGATAAGATGTACGGATCCAATGGCGATTGGGACCTGTATAATAACGAAGAGTTCTCACGTGCTGTAGTGAGAGAGTGAAATAGTCCGACTACCTGTCGTATGATTCTGTTCCATGCCCGACCTGTCAAAATTTGTGTAGGGGTTCCTGGTATACACGCCACCTACAAGATAGGGTATAATATAGTGAGACCCTTAGGTCCCTGTACCCCTGACTGTCTGGGCACGTATCTCCCAGAGCAGGCCCTAGGTCAAGGGACCCAGGAATGTAATTTTGATAATTGAAGTCAAAGTCTCCCTATACAGGGATACCTCCCTTCTTAGCTTGGAGTCCCGCGAACACATAGCGTTCTCCAATACGCAGGCAAGGCGTAAAGTCCCTTTGCTCATGACAGGTGACTCCAGAGAGCAGATATAGCGAAAAAAGAAGGGTCTAGCTTCAGCCGTCCGAAACATGTGTTGTCCCGTTTGAGAATGTCGGCAGCCCTATCTGAGTCTGCTACACATCCTGAGCCGTACTCCAGTGGTAGGTTGTGACCCGACTTTGACGTCTATGTAGGAGTCGGGGCACACCAGTTTCCTCCATAGAGTCTCGCAGGTCTCCTTGATGGTAGTTGAAAAGGTGGGTTAGCGCGAACCCAAACCAAAACGGCTCCCATGAGGGATATACAGAGTATAGATGCAGGGCCCTCCATCTCCGAAACATGTTCTCCAGGTATGTGCTCAGAGGAGTAGGGGCAGTCCTGCCATCTTATCCCAAGATTGTAATGACCAGAGAACACAAGACAACCGGGGTTTCCGGTCTTACCATGCGATCCATGCGTATGGTGTACTTTCAGACCGGGTAGTAGGCCTTCCCTAGTCTTGTTACCCAAGCAAGGCAGTGCCCGTTTGCTCCATGAAGGTCTCCGTATCTCATGTCATCTTGATATGGGAAAACTGTCTGTGCAGTTTGTTCGCAATGGTCCGGATATCCAAAACAGAATGCAATTCTCTGTTTTATATAGCGCAGAATATACCAAAACCTGCACTCTTGTAATACCTGAGGCTCACCCATTAACCGTACCGTCTCTAGGAGTGTGTGTAAATAAGTGGGAGTCTCCCCCCGTTATACTTCTGTAAGTATTTCTCGAGTGTGGTACCGTGGTCCGGATCCAGTAGATCCATTACAGGAGATAAAATAGAGGGATCCAGATCCAGTATGGCAACGGTGCTTGCCTGGACACCTGCCTATCTCCATGTCACTAGTGGGTACTGGGTTTTCCTCAGTGTTATTCCGCCAGGCCTGCGGCCAAAAGGGGGTCGGCACCAATAGAGCAGGCCCGTCAGAAGGGCACAGGCCCAGCAGGCCAAACAAATGGGCACAGAATAGTTGGCCAATCAAATAAGCACAGACATAGCAGGCCAATCGATGGGGCACAGACATAGCAGGCCAATCAAAGGGGCACAGACATAGCAGGCCAATCAAAGGGGCACAGACAGAGCAGGCCCGTGATAGTGTTCCGACAGCCGTAGGGCCCATCTGCGTGTGTAGAGTCCACTATATATATATATATATATGTGCGTAATGAAACAGGGAAACCTTGGGGCAAATAATTTCAATATGTAAAACCCACTAGCAGGGTAGTAATGTGATTATAACAGTATTTTTACATAATACCTCTGGATTAAGTTGCTATAATGTCTCCAGTCTAATATCACAGATGTTACAGCTACTAGTGATGAAGTGCTATACCACTATACAGGGAACTGGAAGACTTTAATGTTTAGCCAAAGGCAGAAAACCAAACTGCAGGCATCTCAGAGCAGTACAAGGTGTACAGTACAAATACAAAATATTTATACAAAATTATATTAATGTGGAGTCATCTTGGGATATAGATTAACCCTGAGCAGGGTGAAGGGCCCTCATCTGATATAAAAAACTCCGGCCGTGACCGTAATCCGGCCTTGATTGACAGAGGGGAGGAAAGCTCCTCAAACAGACCTCCAACCAGTTAGGAATAGATGGGGGGAGGGGCTGCGAGCGGTCGCATCATCCACCCGCCCGGTCGGACACACGCGGTCCGCGGGCGGAGGCGGCCGTGGCGAAGCGGCCACGTGGGAAAGAAGATCCAGTCGCGGGGTGCTCATTTCGAGCTCCCCTGCGACCGGAAAAAACACACACAGAGTTCATCTTTGGCGGTCCCAGAACTCAGGGATCGAAGGAGGCAGATGCAGTCGGCCTCCGGAAGCCCCCGAGTGGCGCACACAGACACCGCCAGACATAAGGACAAAGGCAGAACAAAAAACATAACAACGAGCATACACAAAGTTGGGAGACGGACAGGGGGGACAAGGCCAAGGGGATAGAGGAGACTGGAGGACCGCAAAGACCCCCAGAAATCCAAACTAAATATGTATATAACAGTGATAGCCTGAAGTTACAAGTAAAAATAAACTCCCACAGGGGATTTAACAAAACTGCACGTGTAAGGAAAATTTACACATGGCCAAAGTAATACTGCATATAAGTGAATCCCACAAGGCCTAAATAAAAAATTCTGAAAAGATATTCAATATATAAGCATAAAAACCCCACAAGGGAAAATAAAATACCGAATATGAAGAAAAAAATCCCACAAGGAACATAACAATATTGTATTATAAAAATAAAATCCTACAAGGATTATAACAATACTGCATTATAAGAATAAAATCCCACAAGGATTCTAACAGTACTGCATATAAAAATAAAATCCCACATGGATTATAACAATACTGCATTATAAAAATACAATCCCACATGGATTATAACATACTGCATTATAAGAATAAAATCCCACAAGGATTATAACAATACTGCATTATAAAAATAAAATCCCACATGGATTATAACAATACTGCATTATAAGAATAAAATCCCACAAGGATTATAAAAAATACTGCATTATAAAAATAAAATCCCACATGGATTATAACAATACTGTATTATAAAAATAAAATCCCACAAGGATTATAACAATACTGCATTATAAAAATAAAATCCCACAAGGATTATAACAATACTGCATTATAAAAATAAAATAAAATCCCACATGGATATAACAATACTGCATTATAAAAATAAAATCCCACATGGATATAACAATACTGCATTATAAAAATAAAATCCCACATGGATTATAACAATACTGCATTATAAAAATAAAATCCCACATGGATTATAACAATACTGCATTATAAAAATAAAATCCCACAAGGATTATAAAAATACTGCATTATAAAAATAAAATCCCACATGGATTATAACAATACTGTATTATAAAAATAAAATCCCACAAGGATTATAACAATACTGTATTATAAAAATAAAATCCCACATGGATTATAACAATACTGCATTATAAGAATAAAGTCCCACAAGGATTATAAAAATACTGCATTATAAAAATAAAATCCCACATGGATTATAACAATACTGTATTATAAAAATAAAATCCCACAAGGATTATAACAATACTGTATTATAAAAATAAAATCCCACATGGATTATAACAATACTGCATTATAAGAATAAAGTCCCACAAGGATTATAAAAATACTGCATTATAAAAATAAAATCCCACATGGATTATAACAATACTGTATTATAAAAATAAAATCCCACAAGGATTATAATAATACTGTATTATAAAAATAAAATCCCACATGGATTATAACAATACTGTATTATAAAAAATAAAATCCCACAAGGACTATAACAATACTGCATTATAAAAATAAAATCCCACAAGGATTATAACAATACTGCATTATAAAAATAAAATAAAATCCCACATGGATATAACAATACTGCTTTATAAAAATAAAATCCCACAAGGATTATAACAATACTGCATTATAAAAATAAAATCACACATGGATTATAACAATACTGCATTATAAAAATAAAATCACACATGGATTATAACAATACTGCATTATAAAAATAAAATCACACATGGATTATAACAATACTGCTTTATAAAAATAAAATCCCCATGGATTACAACAATACTGCATTATAAAAATAAAATCACACATGGATTATAACAATACTGCATTATAAAAATAAAATCCCACAAGGATTATAACAATACTGCATTATAAAAATAAAATCCCACATGGGTTATAACAATACTGCATTATAAAAATACAATCACACATGGATTATAACAATACTGTATTAAAAAATAAAATCCCACATGGATTATTTCAATACAGCATACAGGAATAAAATCATACAAGGATTATAACAATACTGCATTTATAAGGTTAAAATACTGAATATAAGCAATAAAATCCCAAAGCCACCCACTATAAGCAGGAGGCAGTGGTACTCTGACCTGCACTGACTGCGAAGCAGCAAAGAAAGAGGCAATGCTGTATGGGAAGGGGGTTTTATAGTACCTAACTTTTTTCTGATTGGTTGTTTTCTGCGCTGCTGTGGAGTTCTAGTAAAGAGAGACTTAAGCAAATACGAAGCCTCCTGTCATGTTATAAAATTATAGATTATAAGTATTTTCAGTCTCGCTTTAACATTACTAGTTATTGATTCTAGGTATTTCCAAATTAGTTATCATAAAACTGCTAATTAATTATAAGCTTTTTAAGTCTAATTCATGCATCAGTATTCACCAATTCTGAATTGTTACATTATAGTTCCAACACTATTCCTAAGCAATTATAACTTTATTTGTAAAATCCTAATGACACCACTCATTGCGTATGCCTAGAAGTCTAGCTTGAACAGTATTTATCGTTAATTATATGTTACCATTTAGTTCTAACAAAGCCAATCTTGGATTTTTACATTATTATGTATTCTTATTATTTTATTATTTATATAGCACAATCAGATTCCATAGCGCGGTACAATGGGTGGACTAATAGACATGTAATTGTAACCAGACAACTGGACATACAGGAACAGAGAGGTAGAGGGCCCTGCTCAATGAGCTTACATTTTAGAGGATATTACATGCAGCTATGTTTCCTTGATCAAACATTATTCATCCACTTCTCATAATTGTAATTTTGCTGGATACATCAAATTATGTAGTTTTATGTAGTTTTATGTATTTTTGGATACACTTAAAAATATATTGTTCTTTTATAAATGTGAAAATATTACAATATTAAAATATTTTTTTCAAAATATTAAATCATTTTAAACGTTTATCCCAAAAATGTAAATCATTTGAAATGTTTATCAAAAAAAAAAAAAAAACTCATCTGGGGCCAGAATTAGTACACTAATCATATTTTGGTCTTGATTTAATTGGTTTGAATCAGAAATTATTCTATTTTGCAAGTTTTCTCTACAGAAGTCATTATTAATGCCTACGGGACTTTTTGTAGAAAATAGTTTTAAATGTTTTCCCTAACAGAGGCCTCAATTTAATGCTTTGCTTAAGTTTTTGAAATGATTTAGAACATTTAGATAAACTTTTCTAATGATTATATATTTTGAAAAATATTTTAATATTTTGGTATTTTTTTTTATATATAATATTTTTTATATCATAATATTAAAAATTATGTTAATTGTTTATCCATAAATATTAAATCATTAGAGAAGCTTATCCAAAATTATTAAACAGAAGACAAGATGGAATAATTTCTGTTTAAACCATTTAAATTGAGGCTTTAGTGACTACAAATCGCAATCGTGCCTTATCATCAAAACCAGAATTATAGCATTTAATGGATTATACCTCTGTAACGCACATAATGAAAATCTACTTTTGTACACTAAAAAAAGTTTATTTTTTCTTTACATTACTTTAAATTTATATATCAAATAAAACAAACAAAATTAGATCAAGGAATGAACTAAGATTGCACCATTTATTGCATATTACTACAGTGAGAATTCAAAGTAAATTCAAATTGAATTTTAAAGTTAAGTAGCTGAACTGAAAGAACAGCTGACTTAGAGAATTGATATTGTTTAGCTGTTATAAAATTAAATTTTGAATTCTTACATTAGTGAATAAACCTATAAATGTATCAATCAATTTACTTACAATACAATAAATGTACAATTTAATTATTAATGCTTTTTATTGTTCTGATAAATTGTTGGAGTTATTTTTCTGTTAAAAATTATCTCCATATTTACAAAAATGCATAACAGAACAGCATTATTTTCTCTTGTCGCACAAACATTGGCTGTAGGTTTTGACAGTTTGGTAATAATTACAATACATTTCTCAAAAGGGACGAACATGACATCCGAAGCATTAACATTCCAAAACAGAAATGTTTTCGTAAATAAGTGAATTGACAGGTATATTTTAAAACCGAACCTATTTGCATCTTAGAATATACATTCACATTCAGTGAAAAAAATAATAATTTGATCAAAACCTTTATTGAGACTGAGTCATAAAGAAGATTTACAAACAAAGTATTCTCTCATTAGCACATTCAGGATCATTTTACCCCAACATTAGTGACTTCTTTAAATAATGAGCATGTCATTTACTTGAAACAAGAGATACAAAGCTAGCACATAGCCATAATAAAAAAAAGACAATGTAGACAGAGATTGCTGTTTAGGGGTATCTAAAACATTCACAATATACGTAAATATAAATTTTTAAAAAATGTATTTAGATTTAGAAATTACATGCTATCTTAAATCTTGCAATATCATAGACAAGTTCTAACATTTTAGAAACACAAATACAAATGTGCAAATATGTGTCACCTGGTGGCATTTTTCCTCCATATAGTATAAATATGTGTCATATATGAAGGCATAATGCCCAGTAAGTACAGTTGTTCTGGTGTGTATAACCTATCCATGCAGCTTTTTTGCTGTAAACACTGTCTTTTCAGAGAAAATGCAGTGTTTTCATTCCTCCCTAGTAACACCTTGTGGCGAAACCGACCTCGCCACTGGGCATTGGAGAAGACTGATTGCCAGCCTCCTGCCATGTGACTATGGCCCCTGGGATGTATTGCCCTTTAAAGACATGATTTGGGCATAATGGTTTTGTGTTGTGCTGCTGCTGGCCCTTTAAGAACCATCTGGGGACATACTGTGGAGTTACTGGGTAACCACCATTTCATGTATCAGAGGCACATGGTGAGAACAATGGATGAAGCACATGGTGAGAACAATGGATGGCGGCCATTTTAACTCACAGACACAGTTTGGACTTTTCAACACGGTGCCATCTCGCCGGTATTTGGTGCACAGAGACATTGTGCAGTGGTTTTGGACTATACAACAGGGGACACATTATACAGTAATTGTTTTTCATTTAGCCTGCATATGTTCTGTGAAATCTGCATTAAACTGTATCTTCCAAAGTACTGAA